AGCATTTGTATAGCCCAATATAAGATCTATCCTGAATCTGTGGAGTAATTTTCTCAGCATCTTCTATACGATGTTTTGAAATCAAGTGGCAGAATGGGATCAGAAGATGATCTCAGAATGCAGCCAGGGTGCCCAGTACCCTTGGCAGAGAATGCACGAGGAAGTAGGACACTGAGTCCTTGCTGTGCCATTCCCTCAGGAAGAGTGAGCTACACAGGAGGAGGCAGAACAAGGACAGGAAGCACTCAATGGACCGAGGCTTTGGTCTATGTGCGGCAGCAGCCCATTGACGAGAAACAATGCCAGCAGACAGGATGCCCCTGAAATAGGGTTCACTACTCTTAGTACTTCAGCCTCTTAATATGATGAGAATATTCTAATTAATAATTGGAAGATTATTGTGGCTGACAGAGTGATGTGCAGCTCACATCGCTCTTCAAGAAAGAATTTGCTACCTAGCTGCAAGGAGTAGGGCCAGCTGGCAGCCCGAGGCTGTAAGTGCCTTCAGCTCTCCAACCACAGTCGCTCTCTTCTCATCGTGATGCCCAGCCAGTGACGGAGCAAGGTGGTGGTACAAGGACCTCGCCATTTTCAGGCACACATGGCCCCTCTAATGTGCCATCTTTGCTCTGGAGCTTCTGCTAGGCTGGCAGATACTTTCAGCTCTGTATGGTGGTCTGAGGCTCCCTGCCCCCTCCTACTGCTTCATTTCCCTTGCACAGATGTTACTTTTCCAGGAAACCAGGGCACTGCTAACTCCACCACAGCATTCATCTCCCAGAGAACTCCACCTGCAACGAGTGTTATTCATCTGTTATCAAACATGCTGAATTAGCCTTTGTAATACATTTTTTTAAACTTTTTTTCAATGTTTATTATTTTTGAGAGAGACAGAGACAGAAGATGAGTGGGGGGAGGGCAGACAGAGAGGGAGACACAGAATCTGAAGCAGGCTTCAGGCTCCAAACTGTCAGCACAGAGCCTGACGCAAGGCTTGAACTCACAAACCATGAGATCATGACCTGAGCCGAAGTTGGGACACTTAACTGACTGAGCCACCCAGACACCCCTGTAATACATTTTTTTAGTGAAGGGAAAGTTTGAGTTTGAACCGTAAAACTAAGATGTAAATGGAGGCTTTCTTTCTCTCTTCCGTCTGGAGACTTGTAGCCCATCCCCAGGTCGTGCTTTTTCTGGGCTATAGAGCTGCTCTTTTGGGTTGGCAATAGACTGCTGAGACCCTGATCTTTATTTTCAGATCCAGAGTTGTTGATTTTCTCACACAAACCTCTTTGCTTGTGATGTTTTCCTATAACTTGTAGACAGCTCTCTGGGTTCTCACTCCTGTCTGTGGCCTTGTCTGTAGCTCCTGGGCATGTTCCGGTTTACATTTTGTTGGTAGGACAGTGTTTGCATGGATTCTTTTAAAATATTCCATAGAACTGATATATTTACTTTTGATTCCCTTTTAATATAGTGGATCTTAACAGATAACCCAGTTGATACTACTTACTTCCTTTTGTGTATTATTCATCTTATACACATGTTGATATATATTGCAAGGGGAAGACCTGCTTTGATTTTTTCCCCCCAAAGAGCCATTTACTTGCCTTTGCGCAATGTATAGATTGATCCATCCTGCCTGGTGTTTGGTGTCTGGCTGACGAAGGTTATGGGTTCTTCAAGCAACAGATAACGTTGAGTTTACTTGGTTTGATACTGAGGTTATTTTGTTAGGTGGCAATCAGTTTCTTATATTTTCCATCATCCTTAACTTTTCTAACTAGTTGTGCATATAAATAGTCATAAGTATTTTTAATCTTTAAAATAAATAAATGTGCAAACACTTGGCACATCAAAAATTTCTTTTTTGACCTGTGCACACATGTCTCTAGCTTCTGCTGTACCTTCTTCATCCTTACTGTCTTCAGAGAGCTTCAATGCACTGATGTCTCTAGGGTCTCATCTTCTGTCATTTTAAGCCCTCTCAGAGGGACCTTACGCATACATATCTTCAGCTGTTGCCTATATTCTGTTACCATCCAAGTCCTGCTTCTGCCTTCCAGACCCATATATATCTAATTGCCTAGAACATCTCCTCTAAGAAGTCTGTCGACACCTCCAATTCCAGGATGTCCAGGAATTGGACCAAATTGGACATGTTTCAATTCTGGGATTCCTTCTGGATTTGATGTCTTAGATAGGGGTATTGCCATACTGAGCCACTAGGAAATCCTTCTTGAGTACTCCATTCACCATAACTACTCTGACTGCCAGCTCAACAGTTTTACCTTCAAATATCATTATTATATGCATCTCCTCTTTACCGTGCTGAGCTTTGTCCAGGCTATTTCATTCCTTCTCTGAAATGCTACCATTGCCTCTTCATTGATGTCTCTGCCTCTCGTCTCAGTCATCTTAAATCCCCCCCCCTCCAGCTGGAACTTGTTCAGGGACTGAACCTATTCAGTGCTTCATGAGATCATGGCCTCACCTATCCAGTTCCTTCTCCTCCCATCCTCATCTACCTACTAACCAAGTAGACCCTCTAACTGCTGCTGTTCTTTTCAGGTATCAAGCTGTTTTTCCATGCTCTTCCTTCTATTCCTGTTCTCCACTAGGCTAATTTAATTAATCCTACAAGTCTCAGCTCAAGCATCCTTTTTTTCTGGAACCATTCTGTGAAGGTTCTGAGATGAGGTGCTTTCCCCCTCACCTCTACACCTCCTCATACAAACTCCTATTGGGCTTTTTTCTTTTCCTCTTGAATGATATTTTCTTTATCATCTCTCTTGCCCACTAATCACAAAACCCTTAGAAGGAAGAACTAAGTATTTTATGAATATGAACTTATTTTTGCATTTCAGACACCAAGCTTGGTATCAAGTGCGTAGATATTTTTCACTAAATGGGACTTGATTGTCCATTGTGTGTGTGTGTGTGTGTGTGTGTGTGTAAGTGTGTTTGGGAGTATGTCTGCATTAATACAGAATAAAACAGGATATAGGATACACTTTAGAGTTATGCACTTAAGAAATACCAAGTCAACATGTTCTAGAGGAAGTCAATGTAGGAGAAATGTAGGAGAGAGCTTGTGTCAGTGATTGTCAGCCATGTGGTCAGCCACATACAGCTTTTAATATATATAATCAGAAATGGTCTTCGATATAGTTTTATAGCATTTTCATCCGTGTAGATGTGTGGTATGAAGAATTTGTAAGAAATACCATAACTAAATATATTTATATTTTTTTATTTATGTTTGTCAGAGTTTGAAAAATTCTTTTAAATCATACAGCTTTTATTCTTTGAGTTTTCTTTACTAAGTTCAGGGTTTAAAAAATGCCCATACATTTTAACATAAATATCGGTCATCAGTCAATGACATATAAGGAGTACAAAGGTACATTTTATGTTAACATGAACAAAGGGACAAAGCAAAGGTCAGGATGACCTGTAAAACTCATGGTTTTACAAATAAAATGAATGCAGAATTCTTCTACTGAGTATTTATTGAGCACATGCTGTGTGCCAGCCACGCTCTAGGTGCTGGGTATACTTAAGAGGAAAAGACAGAGGCATTCTTGCGCTTGCAGGGCTTACACTCTGGTAGAAGAAATACTGCCTTCAAATGAGTGAACTTGAAGAAGACTTCAGTGAGGGATGAGGACTATGAAGAGGACAGAACGGGCAGTAGAGAAAGCATCAGAGCAGTGGGGAGGGAGCCAGGCTCTTCTAGAAGGAACGCCCAGGAAAAACCTCTATGGGGAGGTGACACTTGCAGTGAGAGCCGGATGGTGAGGCGGTGCCATCAGTGCCAGGCTGTGGGTGGAAAAGCATCCAGGCCGAGTGTGAAGTCTGTGCCATTTGGAATCACCTGCGTTTGATGCAAGTTTACCTGTTGTGCCTTTTCTCAGTAGACGTTCTTATATACATTTACTGTCGTCACCTGAGAACGAATGATGTGATACATGTATGTTATTGACCCACTTGGAAAGTTAAGATAAGAAAACAAAACAAAACAAAACCCCAGGCAGGTTTAGATGGAGGAGGCAGTTTATTAGCTGCCTGGAAATACACTTATTCGGGAGATCTGGATATAAATTTTTTACCTTCGTCTTTTAAAATGTTAGAATATTAGCTTAGATAACCTAGAAAGAAGATTTTTCGTGGTAAAATAGTGATATCTTTCAATAACAAGAAAATGTTTCGACTGTTTTTTTTAATTTCTACATTTCTTAAAAAGGTGGTTGCAAATAAAATACAAGGAATCTTATGATCCAACGGTAACTTGCCAAAACTTACTTTACAGTGGGGAAAAAAGAAAAAGGTCCTTTGGGGTTTGGGGAGGGATTTGCTTTTATTAGCCAAATACTCTTGTATGTCATAAATTCATTCTTTATCATACCTTCCAGTGTTTGGGGCGAAGGAGGTGGAAGTCCTGTCTGCAATCTGAAACTTACTCTTAGCTATTAATTTCAAGAAATTCTTGGCAGCAATTTCATTTTGTTATTTCACTGAATGAATGTTCAAGGTCTTCTCTTCTTTGTTGTTCATATTTCTTCCCAACTCTGGTCTGTATCCAGAGACTAGTAATGATAATGCAAACGGGAAATTGAAGGCCAAAAAGCAGAAACCTGGGGCATCTGGCATTTGAGAAATTATTCTTTTAATTCTTAAGCAATGGCTATGATTTAATTAAGATAAAATTATCATTTTAGGTTTTTTTCCACCCTTCTTTTCCTTGTTTTCTTTTAGGAAGAATTAAACTTGGGACAGTGATGTCTTTAAGGTACTCAGGTAAAGAAGGTTGCCTGGGGCAAGTAAGACACTGTCCCATGGGCTACAGGGTCAGGTGTGCTATTTACATTATTATAAATCATTTGTTTTCTTTCTGTTTTCTTTTCTGAACTATGTATATACTTTTCACACATAGTACTATCATGAAATGTGTAGTTTATGTTCTCTTTATCTTACCAGTTTTTAAATTTGTTTTATAGAAAATACTGCAGTTTCTACCTGAACGAATTTTCTTTCGATGGCATTACCAGAGTATAGGTAAGAAAAATTTAAAGATTTTTAAAGTCATAGGGATTTTTTTTCCAGTCAAATTTTTAGTAATGTTTTATATAACTAGCACCATCAAGATTAGGTTATAACAAAGAATGCTAACAAGGATATGTTGGTTAAAAGCAAGACAAGTTCACTCTGGACTTTGGAGGAAAATATAATATCTATCCCTGCTCTAAAAGTGCTATTTAAAAAGAATGGTTCATAGATCTGTAGCATCAGCCTCACCTGAGAGCTTATTAGAAAATGCAGAATATCGCCCCAGCCAGACCTGCCAATCACAGTCAGCATTTTTTTTTAATGTTTATTTACTTTTGAGAGAGAGAGAGCACAAGTGGGGAAAGGGCAGAGAGAGAGGGAGACAGAGGATCCTGACAGCAGAGTCTGATGCGGGGCTTGAACCCACAAACTGTGAGATCATGACCGAAGCCAAAGTCGACACTCAGCCAGGTCTCAAGACAGTCTGCAGTCTGTAACAAGAGCCCAAGGGGATTCCTGTGGATAAAAATTGTTTGAGAAACATTTGATCTGGAGGATTTTTCTTAAGTGACTTCATTTTTTTCTTACAAAAATATCTTGTTCTTCGTGACTTTATCATTGATCAGAGCTATTGTGTTTGAATACCTTAGTGTGTGGCAGCAGGAGGGAACTTGCAATATAGCCAAGTTACAACGGCTGCCCTTTCTGTGCAGCTCTTGACATCAAACATTTCCTCTCAACTTAATATTCATGGCACAGCTGGCATAATTTGTGATATTGATGGTGAACCTTTCTGTTTAAAGAGTATCTGGTTTGGTCTGTCTGCCTTAGAAGACTTACAGTTGCTATAATTTTTATACCTTGCCAGATGATCATATTTGTGGAGAGCATAACCTCATAATGGCATCCTACTATCTGATCATTCGTTCATTCAAATATTTATTGAGGGAGAAACAAATTTCTGAGGCTGAAACAAAGAATATGTCACCATCCTTGTATTGTGTAAGCTGATTGCCTGGGGTGAGGGGTAGGTGAGAATAAAATAATTACAGTATAACTGTCGCTATGAAAAGTATACTGGTAGCAACAAAGAAAGTTGAACAATTCTATTCAGAAGACCTGAGGAAGTCTCCAAGAGAGGTAAATCTCCACCTGAGCCTTGAAATATGAGTGCAGAAAGGGTTTTTTAGATGAGAGATCAATGTGTGAAAGACACAGGACCTGAAAGAACATGGCATGTTCGATGGATATTTCAAAATTCAGAATCCCAAATTTAATTAATACTATTTATGTGAAAAATGTTACTGGCCCTTATATAAACTGAACTGTTTAGTAAAGTATATATAATAAATGCATCTACTGAACTGAATGATTAAATCCTCACTTTAAGGTAGTGCCTTGGTCTTTAAATCTTTCTCAAACACACAAAGAAGATTTTCCTTTACATTATAGAGTTATTGATAGCATTTCTGTTAATTGATACTTCAACCTTGTGTATTTGAAGTAAAAACTTAAAAATCAAATGCTAAGTACAATCTGAAGAGATACCACAAGGACTTGTAGTGCTCCATGGTGTAGTGGGAATGGATGAAAATGAGAAATAACATGCGGTATGTTTTATCTGTGCTAGATATAATCCTTCCATTTTGTTTGTATCTTATAGGAAAACCACACTTGCTTTCTTCAGATAGTACTTTAAAATGTCTGGAGATTAATAGCCCCTCCTCAGCCTGAATGAGCTTACTAGAACTAGGTGTAGAAATTCATTTGCCATTTGTGTTGTGCAACTTTATGCGCCTCATGGGTGGTGTGATGTTACCTTAATTCTGGCTGCTGTTACCACATGGACTGGTTAAAATTGTGGGTACAAGTAGCTTTTTACCCAGTTTAATAGCATCTGACCATGAACAGTGACTCTTGGACTGGGATTGCAGAGGAATAGTCCTTTTGAACCAGCCTAAGAGCAGGTGTTGTTTACCTCGTTAGTATGTAGAATAAGCTAGTTTATCTAGTGTATAGAATGAGTTATATTTCAGAATGCTGAAATATGGGCATTTGCATATAAAATCATCCTGTACTGATGTATGACAGACACTAACACAATGTTGATGTCTATAGGTAACACCCCAGGGACTGGGCACCGCCCTGTAACCAAGAGGATTCTTATTTCTGTAGCCTAAGATATTAATATTCAGCAACAGTGGCATAACTAAATCCAAAAGAGCCTCAGTCAGGTTAGTCAGGAGTTGCCACCAGATGAGTTCAGATTCAAGTCAGGTCCTGTCCACTAGTGAATTGCACACAAAAAGCGTTAGTTTTCATAGCTTTCTGGATTTTGAAATTGCCAATAAGGGATTGTGGATTTGTAACTTTACACATTTTTTGACATACCTCACTCTCTTGCATTCTTTTCAGTTTATTCGGATTTGTTAAAACGGTTATCATTTGTCACTGAAGGTCTTGACGAAGTTAGTTGTAAAAACTAAGTAAATATTAAGGAAACACCAGATTTCAGAGGAAAGGAATGTGTCTTAAATATTTCCGTAGCATTGGTATCTTCTTGACTTCTGCAAAACCTCTTGAGTCAAGGAGAGGAAGCTTTTCACTAGTCAGTGCCAGACATTCTAGGTATCTAATAGTTCTTATTTTAGATCTTTTACATTCTAGATATCTAGTATTTCTTACTAATATGAAGAACACTACTGTATAAACTTTGTAATAAAATGTTACTGTGGTTGGTAGTGGCCAAGGTTCTCTGAAATACTGGGTTAGGATCTTAAAGCTGGGTTTGCACACCACTGATTCAGTATGTTTCCTGCCCCACACTACAAATAGTGTCACCAAGTATAGAAACCTAAAATAAGAGCAACTCCTACATTCTGCAAGCCTGAAAAGTTCTCAGACCTACCGGATAGCCAGGTTTTATCCTGGGAAGGAAGAAATTAATTTGAAATACCACCTGACACATTGTTTGAAGTCAGTTTCCTATCATGCCATTTTGTTTTGTCTATAGTGAAGAGAGACATTTCATTTCTCTCAAAATTGTTTTTAAGTTTTATTTTATTTATTTATTTTTATTAGAGAGAGCAGGAGAGAGGGGGCAGAGGGAAGGTAAGAGAGAGGGAGAGAGAATCTCAAGCAGGCTCGACACTTAGCACAGAGCCCGACACAGAGCTCGAATCCCATGATTCATGAACTACGGTATATGCTAACCTGCTACTAACTGTTTATAAATTTCCACTACTGATTACAAATGGGAAAATTTTCCTGAAGTCATTTTATTTTGTTTTTTTTCCTAGTAATATTTATTTTTAATTTTTTTAATTTAATTTTTTTATTTTTTTAAATTTATATCCAAATTAATTAGCATATAGTGAAACAATGCTTTCAGGAGTAGATTCCTTAATGCCTCTTACCCATTTAGCCCATCCCCTCTCCCACAGTCCCTCCATTTTAGTTCAGTTAATCACGATGGACAAGGGTGGCCACTCGAAGCCTTATCTCTTTGTGATAATGAGAGGTCACAGGATGTGAGGAGATGACCAAGAATGGCACAATAGTAAACCAAGGATATTTGGTGCAGGGGCAGACTGTGGCCCCTTTTCATGTGCCCAAGCATCATTAGTATAGGACTGAAGTTATATGTGTGTTTCCTTTAAGAGGGTTTATAGTTCATGAGCCTCTAGAAAGCAAATCATGTCCCATTCAGTGTACAGTGCTATGCCTGTACGCAGTAAAAGTTTGCGGAGGGGTGGGAAGAAATATTTTTTACTAGAGATGTTTTATATAAAAAATTCTCCAAATAAATAGCTCTTGGGCTTAAAAGAGTAGGTTCAATTAATGGAAAATTCACATAGTACCTCATATGTGTTTTTTATAAATGAGTGATTATTAATCTAGTTTGCTCAACTAGGTTCTTCTTATATATAATATAAAAACCAATGCAGATTTGCATTGGTCATAAAAACTGCAGATTTGCTTGTGACTTTTTAACAGTATCCCCCTGGCTTTATGCCTTGGGCTTCACAGTGGTCTGACAGTGCTTAGGATGTGAACACAACCTCTGAGCAGCCTTATTTCTCAAAGTTTCTACAGCTCACTGGACTCTAACTACTCCTCTGGACGCTGAGTCTGACAACCCTCCCTGGGTCCATCATAGGCCACACCACAGCTGCCTCTTCCCTAGGGAACAGGGTCTCCCATGCACTTTACACTAGGACTTCCTCAGAGGTGCAGTGCAGCCAGGCTGAGCTACAGGGACCTTGCATGCCTCCATGTCCATCAGGGGATGGCTGAGCCTCATGCCCCCTCAGCCCACTTGGTGTCTTCCCACCAAGAAGCACCAAGAAGGTGCTCTCCTTCCCACTTTGGACATGGCCCTCTGGAAATCCTCTTGGGTTAAGCCACAGCCCTAGAGTCTCAGCCTCATTGTTTCACCTCCTCAGCTATCTAATACCTGGCTTTTCTCTCAGGCTTCTCTGTCTCCCTCAGAGCTGTGGGGGTGAGATTGTGGTCTTTCTTTTATCCAAGACCCATTCTAGACCTCATCCACTGCCCCCTCTGTGGAAACCTCTCTTTCCTCAACTGTACCTTGTCCCTCCTCATTGCCACCATGTCTTCTGATCTCCTGCTTACTTGCCTTTTTTTTTTTTTTTTTAATGGCTTAGCTATTTACCCGTCAGCTCCTTGACCCCCTCACCCTTTGTGGCTTCCTGACTTTATCTTCTGGACACTTGTCATTATGCAGATTTGTATCTGAGAAAAACCTGTGTCCTCCCAATTTTTCACTTAGTCACTCCCAAGCCACCTGCTCTGTTTTTTCCTTTTTTACAAAGCTGGTCTTTTTTGGGAGTATAATTGATGATAATAAACTCTATGTATAGAAGATGTTAAGTTTGATAAGTTTTGACATAGGTGTACACCTATGAAATCATTACAACAGTCAAGATCATGAACATAGCCATCATTCCCAATGGTTTACTCATGCCTTTTTCCCACCCCCCTGCCAAGTTCCCAGGTAACCACTGATCTGCTTTTTATCATTATAGATTAGTTTGATTTTCTAGAGTCTCATAGAAATAGAATCATGCAGTATATACTCTCCTTTGGCTTCTTTCATTCAATAAAATTATTTTGAGATTCATCTGTGTTGATGTATATCTTAATAGTTCATTTCTGAGTAGTATAGTATTTCATTGTATAGTTATACTATAGTTTATCTGTTCACCTGTTGATGGGCATTTGGGCTGTTTCTAGTATTTGCATACAAGTAGAACTACTGTAAACATTTGTGTACAAGTCTCTAATGTAGACATGTACTTTCCTGTCTCTTGAGAATGGAATGGCTGAATCATATAAAATTATATGTTTAATTGACAGACTGCTTCCCAGAGTGGTTGACATTCCCACCAGTAGTATGAGAGTTCCAATTACTTTACGTTCCTATCAACACTTAGTATCATCAGTCTTTTTATTTCAGTGGTAGTACTACCTTGCTGTGGTTTTAATTTTCATTTCTCTAATGACAAATGACTTTGAACATTTTTCCTCTGCTATTTGCCATCTGTATGTCTTTGGCAAAGTGTACGTATGAATTGATTGACCACTTTTTAAAAAAAATTTAGTTTGGGGCGCCTGAGTGGCTTAGTTGGTCGGCATCCCGCTTCGGCACAGGTCATGATCTCTCGTAGTTTATGGGTTCAAGCCCTGCGTCGGGCTCTGGGCTGACAGCTCAGAGCCTGGAGGCTGCTTCAGATTCTGTGTCTCCCTCTCTCTCTCTGCCCCTTCCCTGCTCACATTCTGTCTCTCTCTCTCTCTCAAAAATAAATAAACATTAAAAAATTATTTTTTTAATTTAGTTTGTCTTCTTAATATTGAATTTTAAAAGTTCTTTACGTATTCTGGATTTATGTGCTTTACCTGATATGTGACTTGGAAATATTCTCTCCCTATCTCTGACTTGTCTTTTCATTGCTTTACTTGTGTCCTTCAAAGATTCAAAGTTTCTAATTTTGATAAATTCCAGTTTATTGGTTTTTCTATTATGGATTGTGATTTTGGTGTCCTGTCTAAGGAATCTTTGCCTAACCCAAGATCACAAAGATCTTCTATGTTTTCTTCTAGAAATTCTATACTTTATATGTTTCATATTTAGTTCCCTGATTCCTTTTGAGATTAATTTCAAATTCCTCCAGTGGACTGCGTTCCTTTGTGCTTATTGTAAATATTATAGTGCCAGAAAGTTCTGTGTTCCTGCTCCACTGGCAGCTGGCAGCATGGCTTACACACCATCAGCACCCTAAAGGGTGTTTCTCTGTGTTCTTGCACCCTTCCTGGTGGTATACTGTCTTTGCTTATTAATTGGTTTGAGGCATGATATACAGAGGGAGTTTTTTAAAAATAAAAACCACACAAGAATCAGTTTTATAATGTTAAAGTTATATTAGAACTATCTTTATGAACTAGTGACCTTAAAAGGTGTCTAAAAGATTGCCACTTCATCAAGAGAAATCGTCAAGCAAGGCAGTTCTCACAATTGAAAATGACATAGGCAAAGAAGATTTTGAAAATCTTGATGAATTTGTTTCATTAAAGCCAGGAGAGTAAAATTGTAATACATTCTGTGTTATAAACAAAACTTAAGCTAATGTGAGTTTTAATAATTTTCGATTGTTCAATATTGAGTTTTTTGTTTTTCAATGTTTTTTCAATGCTTAAATGTTCTGGGAAAAAATTAACCATTAAAAATATATGAAAACATATCTATAGTGGTACACAGTTTTCCTTTTATGTTAGGCTCCAGTATGACTCAGCTGAACACTGATACTTATTTAAAACCTTAATAATGTTCATCATGGGTTGTTTGGCACTAATTTTGATTTTTAGAAACTATTGTATTAAAATATTATTTTTTTTATTATTGAGTTTTCTTGTGCAGACCCCTCACTCTTCTTGTCCTAGACCCAGCCCTCCTTAAAAGCAATAAGACTTACATTAAAAGGATGTTTATAAAATACAATAAAAGCCAGTAGAAGTTAGAAGTTCATAGAATCAGTCCAACTAATTAGATTTTATTTACTCATTTATTCACTCTTCCCTCACATGAATCAATATAGTGGCAATCAGTAGGGTTGAAGAGGCACCTAAAATTTGGGAGTGGGTATAATTATAGTTTGGATGGGGTATTTAAAATTCCAAACAGATGTGATATAGAGAGAGAAACTTTTTGAAATTAAAATGAAAAAGATTACATAATGGTAGTTAGAGTAGCAGTATCTTTGTGAACTTTGGACCTTAGGAAATGCCTAAAGTAGCCAGGCAAGGCTCTCCAGTATTTATCACCAGTTTTCATGTTGAAACACTATTCTGTGTGCTCCTACTGCACAAGTTTTCTTTCTAATGCTGTTCTTATTTAAAAAGAGTTTCTTAGGGGCGCCTGGGTGGCGTAGTCGGTTAAGCGTCCGACTTCAGCCAGGTCACGATCTCGCGGTCCGGGAGTTCGAGCCCCGCGTCAGGCTCTGGGCTGATGGCTCAGAGCCTGGAGCCTGTTTCCGATTCTGTGTCTCCCTCTCTCTCTGACCCTCCCCCGTTCATGCTCTGTCTCTCTCTGTCCCAAAAATAAATAAAAACGTTGAAAAACAATTTTTAAAAAAAATAAAAAGAGTTTCTTAGAGAATAGCTGATGCCTTATCTTGTGGGGAAAATGTGTTTTTCATATACCAGGCACTGTTCTAAGCATTTATATATGTTAACTCATTTAAACTTCATTAATAATTCCCCATGGTAGGCACTGTTATTATCCCATTTCACAGATGAGAAAACTCAGGCATAGGGAGATTAAGTAACTGACTCAGGTTATACAGTAAATGCAGAACCTAGATTTGAACCCTAACAATCTGACTTCTGAATCTGGCTCGTAAATGCCAAGCTATACTACTTCACATGTACAAGAGTTTCTTGCAAGGTGGAAACATCAAACATGTATGTGTTTTCTATTGCTGCTCTAACAAATTACCAGGTTAATTTCGAAAAAAAAAAAGTCAGGGACTGTTGGCCGATATGGGTCAAGACATTCTGTATGTCTCTTTGTAAAGTCTGTCCTATTTGTAAGTATTTTTCTTCTTTCCATTGTAGAGAAGAGTGGATATGGGCAACTATGGGTAGGCCAAACATTAAAAATAAAACTGTAGACCCATTCAAAGTAGGGGAGGGGCTGATAAGCCCCAGTGGTCACGCACAATAACCAGGAGAAAGTGTTCCAAGAATGTGTTGCAAAATGATAGATTTGCCAGATGTCCAGGAGGAGAGCTGTGTGAGCGGACTTTATCTCGAGTCTTTTGGGGAGTGGAGTGTCTGTTGGCCCTGCCAACCACGTGAGGTCCTCATGGGCATACTGGAGTCAATATTAAACTGAGACAGACCAACCTTTGTCCAAGAATGGGTGAACATGGAGGCAAGGGACAAGGCCCCAGGTTAAGGAGAGGTGTGGGATAAAATAGTCCCATGAGAGCAGACACTTGAACCTTAGTTGTGAGAGAGATTAGCTCAATAAATGCTGGCTCTAGACCAAAAAAATACTGGATATGGTTTGGTGACAGAAGTAGAGGGAGGAGGGCACTTTAACTTCTGTTACTCATTCACAACCGTTGGTGATTTAGTGTTGTTGGTGACTTAGTGTTGTAGGTGACTTAGTGTTGTAACATAGTCATAACAATGGTGACTTTCCACTGAATCTTAGTGTTAAGTGTTATAAATAGCAACAGCAGTTACAAAATTGTGTGCATTTAACTAACATGTTGTATCTATCCACTTAAATATGACCTGTAGAAATTTGTTGAGACTGGCTCTATTTCTTAGTGGAACATCTCTTGAAATACATTACTGGAGTAAATATGATTTGATGTGTGAGTTTTAATTATTGCATAAAACTTATCATCAGGAGATTGAAGTCATTTTTTTCCCCAAAATTTTAGAAGAAAAGGTTCTCTTGCCTGACTTCCAATACATTTTTTTATTTTTAAAGATTACTTCCTTCTTTAAGGTTAAGATTAGAGCCTACATATGATATTTAGGTGGGTTGCCAAGCCAACTCCATACTAAGACATGAACATGTTATAGAATAATATGTTTCCATCCTTGTAAGAGAGACTTTTCTAATTAAAGTGGGCAGCAGCACTGAAGTTTTTGCAGTTGAATGGTGTAGTTCTGAGTAAACGTTGATTCCTCCTCCTTGACAGTGACGAAAGAGCTCTGCTAGAGGATTTATTGATGGCCCGAACATATAAATGTGATTGTCACTGCAAGGAAACATGCTATCTTGAATATTTGCAAAATATTCTTGTAAAAATGTTTTATAAGCAGTAGTTTTATATTATTTTTACCTTTGGAGATTAGAAAAGAATCATTTATTTTATTCATGATGAGATGTTTGCACTAAATCTACTGTGGGTATATGTGTTACTTAATATCAGTCATTTTGACTATTTTAAGAGTTTCGAAGAGTTTCACACTTAAAGCAATTTTATCTTAAAGATGTCTCTCCTTCTGTGACATTGATTTTCTTTTCTTTTAAAAAAAATGTCTTTTCTTTTGTCATAAGTATAATGAAATGTATGATGTATGATGTATAATGTATGATGTATAATGTATGATGTGAAATGTATGATGTATAATGAAAAATATAATGAAAAAATGTCTTTTCTTTTGCCATAAGTATAATATTTCTTTCTAAAACTGACCTTTTAAAAATACATCTTAATCCACTCTGAGTTTTTTTTGGGTGTATGGTATAAATTTATATACTCTTTCTAACTCAGTGTTTTAAACTTTCAGGCTCAACTTTAAAGAAGCTTCTACACACTGGAAATTCTATTAAGGTATTTATTTTAGATGAATGTGCAATGTCATTTTGCAACATTCTTAAATTTACTAGTGCCATAAAGTGACAAAATGAGGCCATTTGTAGAGAAAAAAGATCTTTAAAAACCACTTGAGGGGCGCCTGGGTGGCGCAGTCGGTTGAGCGTCCGACTTCAGCCAGGTCACGATCTCGCGGTCCGTGAGTTCGAGCCCCGCGTCGGGCTCTGGGCTGATGGCTCGGAGCCTGGAGCCTGTTTCCGATTCTGTGTCTCCCTCTCTCTCTCTGCCCCTCCCCCGTTCATGCTCTGTCTCTCTCTGTCCCAAAAATAAATAAAAAAACGTTGAAAAAAATTAAAAAAAAAACAAAAACACTTGACTTACTCTTTATTTTTAATTAAAACTAATATGGAATTTATTAGTTGGAGTTTTTGTTCTTACATCAAAACTTATTGTGATATACATTTTAAATATGATTTGGGGAGAAGGGCTTAGGATTCAGAGTTTGGAATTTGGAGTTCTAATTTTGATTGTACTGCGTACAGTCAGGTAACCGTCAGCAAGGCACTTGCTGCTCCAGTTTTATCCTCAGGAAAGGGAAGCGTTCCTCTCCAAGCCTCCGAGCTAACATGCTAGATTCCGTTCACCCCAGCAATCTTGTTAAAATTATAGTTGTCTCTGAATTACTTTTGCTGGTTTTGAGAGCCATTTTGGGAGAAAAGAGCAGCAGAGCCTTACTCTTGAATATTTGTTTGCAGCATAACTTTAGGTTAACATTGGCTTATTTTAAAACAAACATACCTTTTATAATGATATATAATACCATTTGATGCTAGATAAGATGACCCTAAAACATAAATGACAAAAGAAGCCAGCTGGGGATATATACTTTATGGAAGGTGATTCACTTATAGCTAATTGAGTTATGTGTATGACTTTAATAAGTTCATATTAAATGGAATACTACTTAGCAATGAGAAAGAATGAAATCATGCCATTTGCAGCAACATGGATGGAACTGGAGGGTATTATGCTAAGTGAAATAAGTCAGTCAGAGAAAGACAGGCATCATATGTTTTCACTCATATATGGAACTTGAGAAACTTAACAGAAGACCATGGGGGAAGGAAAGGGGGAAAATAGTTACAAACAGAGAGGGAGAGAGGCAAACCATAAGAGACTCTTAAATACAGAGAACAAAATGAGGGTTGATGGGGGCTGGAGGAGAGGAGAAAATGGATGATGGGCACTGAGGAGGGCACTTGTTGGGATGAGCACTGGGTGTTGTATGTAAGTGATGAACCATGGGAATCTTCTCCCCACACCAAGAGCATACTATACACACTGTATGTTAGTCAGTTTGACAATAAATTATATTAAATAAACATTGAAGACAACTAAAAAATAATAAGTGTATATTTTTTGTTTTATACCAGCTTAAACACTCATAGCTACTTAAATTTGGTGTGTTGCTTCTCTTACATGTTGAAAAAAGGGGATGAGCTATTCCTAGCTTCACAACAGATTCCACATTTTATTCCTGTTTTTTTTTTATTATTTTTTTTAAATTTTTTTTTTCAACGTTTTTTTATTTATTTTTGGGACAGAGAGAGACAGAGCATGAACGGGGGAGGGGCAGAGAGAGAGGGAGACACAGAACCGGAAACAGGCTCCAGGCTCTGAGCCATCAGCCTAGAGCCCGACGCGGGGCTCGAACTCACGGACCGCGAGATCGTGACCTGGCTGAAGTCGGACGCTTAACCGACTGCGCCACCCAGGCGCCCCTATTCCTGTTTTAATTAATAGTTTTATAGTTAAAACCTAATCAGGTTGTGACTTTATGTTTATTATTGGCCTTATTTATATTTTGTTAACTTAAATACAGTTATCCTAAAAAATTGGAGACATGATAGAATTTTGTAATTTTCCTCCTGTTAAATTTTCTGCAATTTGGTTAGATACGCGTAGAGCCATGTCATGTTTTGTCTGTTATTTGTTCAGCAATGTCCCCACTTATATTGCCTGCTTGGGGAGAAGTGGACAGGTGTGAGTGGTCATGCAGGTTTGTGCACAGCAGTGGTGTGTCCACAGGCATGTCTGAAAGTGTGCCCTGGAATCTACTGTTGATGTGTAGAACTGTCTCCAGACAGGGTGTCTGTCTCGGTGTATTTTACTTCTGTGGGGAGTCAGCCAAACTTGCTTTTTTTTCTTTTTTTCTTTTCACTTCACTTCACTTCACTTCACTTCACTTCACTTCACTTCTTTCGTCTTTCCTGTAGAGCCTCATGTTTGACTTAAACACTTGCTCTGGAAGAATCTGCACTACCTTGGTATAGTTGAAAGGAGATCAGGCAGTCCCTCAGTTGCCTGCATTTGGAGCTCACTGCATCTTGCAGCTTCATCTGACATTTTTTTCATCTCTTCAGAGCACATGAAGGTGGTAGAGAGAATGGAGTAGGGACATAAGGCAGGGAAGCTGGAGAGCTGCCCAATCCCATTGAGCCAGGTCTTCAAGGTCTTGTTTAGCTCTAAGTGTTCAGATTTTCAAGAACATTACATTATACATGTACATATTGTAGTGACATGACAAAAACTCTATTCAAAACATAGTGTAAACTTGGAGGAAGATTATCTTTGCATTGTTTTCATGGGTAACCAATTGATGATATGGGCACTGTTGTAACTCTCTTAACCCTATACTAGTACTTTGTGGTAAATTCTATTACCCTATTTTACAGAGGGGGAGACTAATGCATAGAGAAGTTAAGCAGTCCTCCACTGGTCACAGCTAAGCTAAAGTAGCAGAGCCTGAATTTGAACCCAGGCCCTGTGGCTCCATAACCCACACTCTTAACCCTTGTGTTCATTGCAGCATGCCTGCTTGTCACTAAGAAGAACTTGGTGCCGTAATTCGACAGTGCCTTTAACTTCTGGTTTTTCTTTCTCAGAACTGATTCTGCATTGCAGTGCATCTCTGCATATACATTTGGGTGTTTAATTTTGTTGCCTTTAATTCTGCTTTTAGATAAGATGTGAAGGGATCAGGCTGTTTCTTCTGTGGCTTCAAGCACTTCAGACAAACTGTGCAGAAGAGCAGGTGCTGATTTTTGCTTGCCTTGTGCCTGGTTTCCCAGCAATCATGTCATCCAGAGGGCCCTGTACGCTGGAGACACTCATCAGTCCTAGCCCTAGTGGAGCTGATGGTGAGTAACTTTAGCAGATCTTACAGGCTGGAATGACTCTTGAAGTTACATTGAGGAATTCCTTGGTTTGTCATTATCCTACATAGAAATCTTTATTTCACAGATGGTTCAGAGGAGGAGTTATTTTCTGCTTATATTCACAGTAAAGTCTTAAAGACATTAGAATTGAAAGAATTGGAGCCTATTTTATATGAAATGATGACAGGAGAAATTTCCTGAAGTGGTGGAAACAAGAATGGAAGGGAGGGGACAGATGTTGGCAATAGCAGGAAGTAGAGACACGTGGTATGTCTGGAGTGTTTTTGTGGCTGTTAATGAGATTTAAATCCGCCATCCAAAACTACTGTCTATTGTCCTCCTCAGATTGTTTCATGAGCGGACATTCATCTGCTCACCCAGGCTCTTTTTTGCCAGCTGTGTATTTCATGCAGCATTCATGGAAGGACAATAGTGGCCTTCTGGGAGTATTAATAGCAGCCATTTGTGTCTTGTGAGTTTTCAAGAACTTGCCAGTTAGGGCCATTGCTTTATTAATGCATGTTACTTTATTGCCCAATGACAGGTACTTGATCTTAGGCTGACCAAAGCAGAATTTGAAAGAGAAAAGAATGGTTTAGTGGGAGAGGTGGTTTCATGAGCATTTGTACCATATTTCTAAGCCCTTCATGTACACTGGCTTGGAGTATAGTGTGAGCAGTTCCAGTGGAGGGATAGATGTATGTTAATAGAGACCATTTAAAAACAGAAACAAAACCCTCTTTAACTTTGGTGAAAGAGCCCTGCTTTTTTTTCCCACTCTGCAGCAAAGGTATATCCAGAAGAAATCACTCCACTCCTACCAGCCATATCGGGGGAAAAGATTGCTGAGGATCAAACATGCTTTTTTCTTCAAATACTATTGAAATATATGGTTATTCAGGTAAGAGAAAAATCATGGGATAATTCAGTAATGGTCTTACTCTCTGTGGGAAAGAGAAAGCATTTGTACCTTTGCTTTTTACTTTGAGGTGATTTTATATGATACTAAAAATAGAGTATGTACCGGGTCACATCAGCAGAGACCTGGCATATGTACTATTTTGTGTAAGTGTGTATGTCACGGGAAGAATTCAGTTCTCCACCTACTTTTAGATCATTACCACATTCACACAGAACACTTCACTTCTGACACTTGTGGTTACCAAACGTGTGAGTGTTTTCCCCCATCAGACAACTCCGCCACACCAGCTGGATGTCCTACAGTTTATTTCTGCTTTGAGGCTGTCTGCTTGGAGATGGCATCAGATCCCGCAGGAGAAGGGCTCAGTCCCATGAGATGGTTCTGTCACAGTCAGGTGCCAGTTACTAGTGGTAGGCCCCAGGTTACCCACTGCTTCTATACAACTTGGCTACAAATCAGAGGTTCCCACAACTCCTTTTCAGGTTCAACTGATTTGCTGGAGTAGCTCACAGAACTCCAGGAAACCTTTGTTTCCATTTACCACTTTATTAAAGTATGTGATAAAGGATACAGATGAGCAGCCAGATGAAGAGATACAAAGGGCACAGCCTGGAAGGGTCCCAAGCACAGGAATGTCTGTTCATGTGGAGGTGGGTTTCATTACCCTCTCAGTACATGGATATGTTGACTTACCTGGAAGCTCCCTGAAACCCTTGCCATTGGGATTTTTCTGGAGGCTTCCTTACATAGACATGCTCCATTTCTATCCCCTCTCCCCTCTGGAGAAATGGAAGGGTTGGGGTGGGGGTGCTGAAAATTCCAAGTTCTAATCACAGTGTGGTCTTTCTGGTGACCAGCCCTCACTCAGGAGCCATCCAGGAGCCCACCCAGAGTTGTTTTACTAGAACAAAAGATGCTCCCAGTGCTCTTACCTCTTAGGACATGACAAGAGTTTTAGGGGCTCTATGCCAGGAAGTGGGGTAGAGAGCCATATATATTTTCTGTTTTCTCATAGTGTATTAATCTATTTTTGCCTCTTTGCCCCTTCCTGAACCCTGATCCCTAGGCTAGCAAGGTGGATGGAGGAGGAGGCAGGCCCAGAGGCTAAACAGGCAGATCTGGAAATAATAGGCAGAGCAGGCAGGAAAATTTGGGTGGGAGCACATAGAGGTGTTTCTTTGTGCTGTCAGCACAGGTCTGCTTGATGTCACAGGCTCCTTTCTCTGATGTTTACCAACTGAAAACAGAGATAATATCATTAGTTTATGATTTCAGTGGGCGATCTCTTTCTCTTGGTCTACATTTCTAAGCATTGATATGGTTCAAAACTACTGGATTCCTTTCTTTTGGCAAACACTGGTCATCCTTGAGTTCTTCCTGGGAACTCTGTCCAATCTCTGTGTCCTCCACAACCAAGTTTGTTGATGTCATAATCTCTGCTAAATCCACTTCCTCACCTGACACTCACTGCTACCTGCCTCTGCCCTGTCCCTGCTAAGACGGAGGCCCAAGATCGTGAAGGAGGTCTAGTGGTCAAGTCTAGAGGAAGGACACTTTAGTTTTTGCCCTACTCAAATCATCTTTCAGGTGATTTGACGGTGACTGCCCCTTCTTCGTGATATTCTCTCCTCTCATGTTTTCTTCCTGCTTTCCTCCTCCCCTTCTTTTATTTCTTGCCACTTTTCTTTGGGGACTGTCTCTCTCTGCTGTTTCTCAAGATTCATTCCTTGGCTCCCTTTCTGACTACTCTGTCCTGTTGGGCAATCTTGTGTACTCTCCTCTCCCATTTCCTTTAGCCAGCACCAGAAACACAAGGACTCCAAAATCCTAAGACCAGGCTGGCGTACTCTGTTGTCTTCTGGAAACTCTGCATTTCCACCTGCAACTCAAACCACCTGTTCAGAAGTGGTAGGGCATTCCATCTGTCCCAGGAGATCAGCATGAAGTATTGAGAACTTGGATGTGTTGGTGTACTTGGGTCTCATTCTAGATATGTCACTAATGAGCTGTGTGACCTCAGATAAGTCACACAATCCCCAGAATCCCAGTGGAGGAAGGATGCCGGTGATATAAGGTGGTGGTTTTTATGCAGATTGTGCATAAATCATGTGCAGAATTGTATGTTCATGTCCATCCCTCTCTTTTTCTCTCCCTTTTCTCCACTGGCTCACCCCAGAGAACTTCTGATACACTCTGTGTATTAGAACTTCTGACAGGTCACAGACACTGAGCCCCTCTGCCCCAGGGGCATTCAAAGTTCCACATCCCTTTACCTCAGATGCTGCACAAAGTATTTTCATTTTCTAAGTGGGCTGCATCATGAAGGAAGTTGGGAAGCTCTGCTTTAGAGCACTCTGTGTTCTAACAAGTACTAAGAACTAGTAACAGGTACAGGTGGACTGGCAGGCCTGGCTTATCTTAGCCTGTGGAGTGCTTTTAATAAGGAGAATGCACTTTCCAAGTTTCCATAGCTTTGCCTTTTAATGATACTGATTTTGCATGAAATCCTTGCAAGGGGTTATTTCTTTATTTCCTGTTTATTATAGGCGTGCCTGGGTGGCTCAGTCGGTTAAGCATCTGACTTCGGCTCAGGTCATGATCTTGTAGTTCATGGGTTCAAGCCCCGCATCGGGTTTTGTGCTGACAGCTCAGAGCCTGAAGCCTGCTTCTGATTCTGTCTCCTCCACCCCCTCTGCCCCTCCCCCACTCACGCTGTGTCTCCATCTCTCAAAAAGTGAATAAACATTAAACAAAATTTTAAAAAATTCCTGTTTGTTATAAATGGCCTTTTTTGTGTTAAAAAAAAAAAACCCCACCAGATTACATCTGACTGAATGTTTAAGGGCAGAAAGAATATTAAATCCTTATAGAGAACATGTGGGGAAAAATAAGGGCATGATGTAGTAGAGCCAGTTTAAAAAGATATGATATCATTGTGTGATTTTTTTTTAATACTCAGTAAAACTGTGTTTCACGTAGTTACCATTTTGGTCATGGGTTTTGGTTGTAATTATATTGAAAACTTTTAATGTTAAAAAAAAAAACTTGCATTCCCATAGGTCTTTTCTTTGAAGCTTTTATTCTTGTCGTTTGAGTTTTAAGATACAATTTCATTACATGATTGTCAACATTATTTGTCAAAATATTTTTTTGTGTGTTTAGAACAGGAATTTTAATAAGATAACAGCATTTCAGTTTAGTATACATTAAGTTGAAATGTAAATGTACATATGTTCTTTTCCACATATTATCCAAAGGCTGCAAGCTTGGAGTGGAAGAATAAGGAGAATCAAGATACTGGTTTTACATTTCTTTTTACATTGTTTCGAAAATATTATCTTCCTCATTTATTTCCAACATTTACTAAGTTAACAAACATCTACAAACCTGTACTTGGTAAGTACATTGGGTTGTATCTAGAGGATGTCCACAGGGAAGCTGTCCAGTCTCTTTCAAAGTGGCCTTTGATTATTTTTAAGTAAAATAGCCATTTTATTCTTATATTTAATGGTAACTTTATTGCAAGAGGCTTAAAGTTTCCTAGTAAATGATTTTACCTATTTGTACAAGCTTCAAGAGGTACCTCATCTCACAGCAATAAAGGGGACTATGGCTCCTGTACTCAGAATAATTTGACATGTGTTATGGGTTTTTGGTTGTAATTATATTGAAAACTTTTAATGTTAAAAAAAAAACTTGCATTCCCTGAGGTCTTTTCTTAGGAGTGGCGGGGTATGGTGAGACCCCAAACCTTGCTCAGTGGCTAGGCAAGCCAGCCCAGGCTACACAGCTGCCC